GTTGGTCAGGGAAGCCTAGTTCTCACATTGGAACAAAACCTGGTACAGGCAAGGGAATAGCAAGGGCATGGCGTGAAACTGGGGCATGTGGAAAAGCCAGCCAGGCAGGAAGCCTGCCAAGAAGGGAGGAAGAGGCCTGGGGATGGTGGGGACCCTACAAGGCCTGTAAGCCGTGACAGGGACTAAGCCATTATAGGGACTGCAGAATCTGGGCAGCTCTGACTGAGGGGGCAGCTGCTGGGGTATTGAGCAGAGGAGTGATGTGATGTGTGACTTAGGTTTTTAGTTTTTTTTCACTTTAGCTGCTGTAAAATTAAAGCATTAATGGGCTAAGAAAGGGCTTTTGTGCGTGTGTGTGTGTGTGTGTGTGTGTGTGCACTAAAGGGCCAGTCACGTATTTACTGTGCATTTTGTCATTAAAATGAACCAAGAGTTATCATGAGGCCACGGTCCTTGAGGGAATTGGACCCCCTGGAAGTTTCTAGGACATGAGTGTCAGAGGAAAGTGGTGACGCAGTAGGTTTCTGTCATCATCAGTGACAAAGTCATGATCTTTGACTGGAGCAGGGTGAATTACATGGTGTGTGTTGCTATATGCGCAAAAACGTATCTTTTGTTTCATGAATGTAATTTTGGCCTAAAATGCTTTAGAGGGAACTTGGAAAAATCCTGCAGAAGAATTGAATCTTGTTTATTTCTCCAAAAATGACTTCAGCTCCTTTCTTTGCCCTCCCTAATTTCAACCTTCCCGTCTTTGCGCTTCAGTGATGAGCAGAGGTCAGGGAATTGCCCTAACAGACCATATATTTCTGAGGAGTGGTCATTAATTTTCCTTGGTTTGGCTGAGGAAACATTCCTGTCACCTCTTTTGAACACTGAGCACCACCTTGGTGTGAATGAGTTTTGACAACGGAACCTTGTTCTGCAGCCAGGGTTGAAGAAGTTGGCGAAATTCCACTTCCTATTAATTTTCTTGTACAATTTGGACACCTAGAAAAACGTCTGAAGAAAGTTTTCATTTTGTGAGCTAATAATAAATGCCATAATGTGGTGTGCCAGGCTGTTGGCTTTGGGTGTGACTTTTGTACAGAAGGTGTGCAAAGAATGATTACTGGAAAGGTTAATTAAGAACATGTAATGATTCTGTCTTTTAAACTCTTGAAATATGGAAATGGATTTACACAGATAATAATTCAGAAGTTTTCACATCTCATTTTTATATTTGCCAAACATCCCCACCAGTTTCTTTTCTTGGCGGTGCAAATGTTTGGAGATATATTGTATGTTCTTCAGCACGTGTGACTTCGTGTTTTTCTTCACATACTGTAGTTGCGCAAGTCCGGGGTTGGAGCCTCACTGAGTAGAGTCCCAGCCATCATTTCAGCTTTAATTGGTTGTAAAATATTAGCAGGAAGGCAAAGTTATTTTACACTGAAGTGACTTTTTTGGGAAGTAGCAAGTTAAATTTTATGGTAGCAGCTGTTCTGAGCAGAATTTGTCGGAAAGTTGATGAGAAGCGAAAGCTTCCAACAGTCCAATATAAATTCTTAGTTTAAAAAAGATGCAAACCACACATTAAAGAGGCTATGGAAGTAGAGAAAAATATTTTTGGTCCGTATTTAATTTATTTATTTTGTAAATAATTTAAAAGTGAGGCCTTCGTTATTTTATACTTCAGTCTTAGTCTTTCAGAAATAATCATTGCTCTGATTTTGCAGTGGGAGCCTTTATTTAGTTTAGAATTCAATAATGATATGCTAAAAAAGGAACATAACTTAGCAGAGAACCTCCCTAAAGGGAGAGTTCTGAGTGGAAAAAACACAAACTGTTTTTCCTCTACTTTTACCCCACAGCAGTCAACACAGAAGAATTCTGTGACCAGATGTGTGAGGGATTTTCCCACGCATACCAAGCAAGTGATCAGTTCTGCAGTGGACACCAGCTGGGTGTCCTCTGATTCAATTCTGACCCTGTCTACCTGGAGATAGCACCAGGTCCCACGGATTGAGGGCTCAGTCCCACAAGACTGCCTCCACCACCCCCTTCTGATGTCAATCACAAGTTCCACTTGGCTTTATTTGTGCTTGTGACCCACTGGCTATTAATCAGGGTTCTCATGACCCTCTCCTTGGGTTCTGTAAATCTGCTAGAGTGATTCACAGAACTCAAGACCCTTATTTAGTTTACTGGTTTATTAGAAAGACTATTACAGGCCGGGCGTGATGGCTTATGCCTATAATCCCAGCACTTTGGGAGGCCGAGACAGGTGGATCACTTGGGGTCTGGAGTTTGAGACAAACCTGGCCAATACAGTGAAAATATCTATTAAATAAATTAGTATCTACTAAATAAATAGAAATTATCTGTGTGTGGTGGTGTGTGCCTGTAGTCCCAGCTATATTCAGGAGGCTGAAGTGAGAGAATCGCTTGAACCCCGGAGGCAGAGATTGCAGTGAGCTGAGATCGTACCACTGTACTCCACCTGGGTGGCGGAGAGAAACTCTGTCTCAAAAACAAAATGAAACAAAAAAGACTATTACAAAGGATACTGATGAGGAGGTGCATAGTGTGAAGAAGGGGTGCAGAGCTTCCATGCCCTCCCCTGCTGCACCCGCTCCAGGAACAGCTGTCCAGAAGTTCTCACTGCTATGTTCTCTTGGGCCTTTTTGGGAGACTTCGCTGGATAGGTATGACTGAAGTGTGGACATCCATGGAGAAATGTGATTAGACACAGGAGGTGATTAGTGCTAACAGATGGAGTGGGGAAACCCAGCGAGCCCTGTCCTTTCAGGTTCTTCTCGGCCCCTCTGTGCAGCATTCCTTCCTCCTGGGCATGAGGCAGGACCCCTTCTGAAATGGGGGTCTTAGGACCCACAATCCAACAGTGGAGTTCAGAGATGGAAAGGTAGGGGAAGGTGAGGGCATATTTTAAGTGTCTATGGCCTGTCTTGGGGAGAAAAAGGAGCAGGCAAAAGGAGGCCACGATGAAGCTCCCTTTGAGAGAGAGATTCTGTGTTCTGAGGCCTAAAGCACCCCAACATTCTAACACAGGACTGTCTTTCACCTTCATCACTCTGACACTGTTCCCAAGCTGCTTCAGGAACCACAGAGGAAAGGCCACATACTCTAACAGAAGAGACGCTTATTGTTTCAGTCACTTAGGAAATGGCAAGGGTCCTGGGAGTGGTGAGCCCTGAACCATGGATGAAAACCAATGTACATATTTCATAATATCACGAGAGTATACTGGATAAGTCATTTGAGAAGGAGCTGGGACATTTGCATGTGTTATTCCCTTTCTAGAACTTTCTCCCACCACACACCTTTGTCTTCTTGATGCCTATTTGTCCTTGAGGCCTCAGCTCTCAACAGGGATGCCTTTTCTGGTCTGGCCACTTCTCTCTACTGTAAACTCTTCTAGCCTTGTGTAGATCTTCTTAGTACTCGTTTTATATTTATTTGGGTCACTCTTTATTCTCTGAACTCCATGCCATAAAGGAGAGTGCCATTATTTATTTATTTTTTTTGACATGATTGTATTATCACCACCTAAAAGCAATGCCTGGCATGGTAATGCATATCTGTGATTGATGAATATTTGTTTCATGGAGGAATCCGCGAGTGAATTGAATTTGGTTGGCTACAGGAAGGCCAGTACAAAGATTCATGTCTGCAGCCTCAAGTCCAAATACGAAAGGGGCCAGGCAGCTAAGGTGAATGGGTGAAGCAGACTGTGAGGAACTTGAGTTGCTCTGGGCAACCAGATAGAATGTTCTGGACAGGTGCCTGCCTGGTGGATGTTCTCTTGTTCCTTCTGTGGAGGCGGATTCTTCTTACTCAGGGGTGTAAGCTCGGACTGTGGTAAATTTCAAGGACTCCCGGGGAAGATAGGACTTAGTAGAGAAGACTGAGGAAACTTACACTACTCTTCATTTAAGTCTTTCTAGAACCCACAGCAATGGTGACTGAAAGAGGAAATCATGAGGTAAAGTTAGCTTGCAGTGGGTTGAGGACTGAGTGGGAAGTGAGAAGGGAAAGCCAGTGAAGAGAGACTCCTCTTTTGAGAAGTTTTTTTCTTTTTTTTTTTTTTAATTTAAAAAGAAGGCAAGAGACCAGAGGAGAAACAGGGTCAGAAGAGAATTCCAGAAAGATACAAGGGAGGGGAGGGAGGTTCTCTGCCAATGAGGACCCCTTCTTCTGAGAAACTGGGCGAAGGTCCCTAGTTTCTGGGGTGAAAATGGTGAACAGTCAGTGAGAGGTTGTCGGGAAGCAGGAGGAGGTCCCCGGCTCAGTGAGGGGAGCGTGTGTGGGGGGCTGGGCTTTTGCTCTGGGAAGATGTGCGTGGATGTAGTGCTGAACACATCTCCACTTCCACTTTTTATCACAGACTTTATTAACAGCTGCTGCAGAAATGTTATTGGAAAGATAGAGGCACAGCTTCCCTTGCTTTTTCCTTCTGGCTTGAAGAGTCACTGGAAGCCTCGGGCACTTCTGAAATCTTGAGTGGAAAGAGCTGTTTGGCAGAGAGGACCTTGTGGGCCTGTGGAAATCAAGAAGCCATTGATTTTCTGTGCAGAATCCTGCACAGACTAGAGCCCTAAGGCCTGTCTCCCAGAGCTTCACTAGCTGTTCATTCAGATAATTGTGTCTGAATTGATTCTGAAAATAATAGACCAGCCATAAAGCAGCATAAAATATTATGAAACTACTCCAGAAGTTTAGTAATATCTTTCGGGCCTGCTTGTAACCCAAGTTTGTGAGTACTTCTGTAGTTAAAAAAAATATTTTTACTCTACCAGGCCATTGCAGTTCTTTTCCATCAGTGAATTTCACTCTATGGTCTTTTCAGAGCATCTCATAATCAGTCAACAAATCTATTTCAAATGTGTTTGTTACTAAGCAACGGTTGCTAAGAGCTTCTGTAATTAAGATGAAAGTTCCAAGGTAACAATGCCCAAACACAGCACAGTTTCACCATTTTCTGGTAATGCACGAGTAGGATGTCTAAAAGTGAAAGAAGAATCTACAAGAGCATGGCACCTGAAATTTCTGAAGATATTGGCTGTCCTGCAGCTTATATGAGAGAGAATTTTTTTTTTTTTTTTTTTTGAGACAGAGTCTTGCTCTATCGTCCAGGCTGGAATGCAATGGCATGATCTCGGCTCACTGCAACCTCCACCTCCTGGGTTCAAGCAATTATCTGCCTCAGCCTCCTGAGTAGCTGGCATTACAGGCACACACCACCACGCCCGGCTAATTTTTTTGTATTTTTAGTAGAGACGGGATTTCACCATCTTGGCCAGGCTGGTGTTAAACTCCTGACCTTGTGATCCACCCGCCTCCGCCTCCCAAAGTGTTGGGATTACAGGTGTGATCCACCGCGCCCAGCCATGTTTGTGTTTTATTAATCAGCCAGTCATCTTTTATTCTGGTGTGGCTGAAAATGTATATTCCAGACATGAATAGGTAGAGTATGTGTTGGAGGCGGGTTTATACCGCATGGCTGGACTAAGACAGGGCCACGTGTGATGTAAATGATGCTGCCTGACACGTGCAGCTGTAAGAGGGATCAACGGAGTACCCGCTCCGTGCTATAAACTTCCTTTGCAGTTATGACTGACCTAGATTAAGTAGCGATGCAGGCCTGTTCTGTACTTTCTTTAACAATGCACAGTTTCTTTTTCTTTAGGAGATTTGTAAAGGAAGACTCAGATGAATTTTTCCCTATTCATGGTGCCTGGCTCATAGCGGGTGATTAACAAATGCTCCTCTTTGCCTTCCCACTCCATTTTGTTCCAGGGGCGAAGAGGGGGTTAGGGTTTCCATGGCGACCTGTTGTTGAATGACCTCCTTTCAGACCTGTTGTTAGATGCCCAATGGGTCCGAGCTCCAGTCCAGGGAGCTGAGCCTCACCTAATGGAGGGCTTTGCTGGTAAAAGAAGATTCAGTCACTCCAAGTCAGCAAGCAATTACTGAGTCACTCTCCAGCTGCCGGAACCCTTGGCATTTCCCTGCAGGATCTGCCTGCAGGGTAGTCTTGTTGCAGGCAGAATGGATGTCAGCCACCAAAGGGTACTGGCCAGTAGATCCGGGTCTGTTTTGGTTCCATACCTTCAGTTTGGGACGTTCGGCAGGTGATTACCTGCTTGGACTTTAACTTCCTCATCCTTACAGTGTGCACAATCACAGCCACTTGGCTTATATTGTAGGGTTGGCATAAGAATGAGAGGAGATAGATTATGTAAAGTGCTATGAAAAGATGTATACAGATTCATTTATTCAACAGATATTTACCGAGGGGTTCGTGTCAGGCACTATTCTAGTTTCATAATATAGTTCATATCAGAACAAATCAATAGATCTATTTAATCCTTTTTAATGGCATTTTAACATCCTATACGATAGGTGTTCTGTAATTTATTTAACCCTTCCCCAGTTAATGGACATTTAAATCAACAGTGCTTCATTGAACATATTAATACATATATCTTTGGCAAATGTGGGAATACTTCTTTCAGGGAATCCTGAAAGAGATTTTGCCAAGCCAGAAGGCTTAAGTATTTCATATTTTGTTGGCTACTATCAAATACAGCTAAGAGCCATAGTAACCTACTGCCTCAGACAACATGTATGAGAAAACTCATCTTTCCCTATTTTTGCAAATCTATTCTTTCCAATTTTACCAATCTGCTAGATGAAAAGTAATATCTAATGGTTGTGTTATTTTCAGTTTCTTGTTCTATCCATGACCATTTTTAATTTAATTTAATTTTTTTTTTTTTTGCCATTTTAACTTTTTCTGTGGTTAGCCTTTTTATCTACCCCTTTTGTCTGCTTGGAGAGACGGCTTTTTTTTTTTTTTTTTTTTTTTAATTTGAAGGGGCTTTTTGTATAGTTGAACATGTTTAATACTTTTTCGTTTCATTTTACCATGTTTAATACTTTTTCGTTTCATTTTACATACTTTTTTCATTGAGAGGAGCGAGCTTACGTTAACCACTATTTTGCAGAGGAGATGAGAGACATATGAAGTGAATAGTTAGGTACAGTCACTTGGCCTTATATGATGGGGCTTGGATTGGAACCTGGCTCCTCTTCCCAGTCCAATCTGTTTTTTTGTTTTTGTTTTTGTTTTTGTTTTGAGACAGGGTCTCACTCTGTCTCTGTCTTCCAGGCTGGAATGCAGTGGCATGATCTCAGCTTATTGCAACCTGCAACTCCTGGGTTCAAGTGGTTCTTGTGTCTCCCAAGTAGCTGGGATTACAGGCCTGTGCCACTACACCTGGCTAATTTTTGTATTTTCAACTGAGACGAGGTTTTGCCATGTTGGCCAGGCTGGTCTTAAACTCCTGACTTTGGGTGATCTGCCCGCTTCAGCCTCCCGAAGTGCTGGGATTATGGGTGTGAGCCACGGCACCTAGCCCCAGTCTGGTTTTATTTGGGCAGAGGGGGTTATCTGGGAGGCTCAACTGGCCAGGGAAGATGGTTTACCTTGTACAGCAATTTGGATGGTTTAATGCAGTACCAGGGAAGCCACTGGGTCAAGGAAAGGGAACGGTACCCAACACAGGCTTCTTCCAGCCATCCAGCCATCCAGCCATCCAGCCCCATCTGCAGGTGTCATCTAATCCTGGGAAAAACTGAAGGTAACTGAGGGCCTGAGGGCCATGACTGTGTCTTTGTTCCTTAGGAGGTGAATACAAAGACAAAGGAGGCGGAGAATGATAGCCCCTTGGCGATGCCACTTTTCTGCCCTCCAAGGGCACAAACAGTGCTGCTGTTGCCTTGCGTTACAGAGAACATGTATTCTCAGTAATCAGCAGAGACTTGAAACAAAGATTCTTCTCTCCTTGGAGTTTTCAGTGGTACCTTATTCAAATGATCATCATTTCTTTTTTTCGGATTGAATAATTACCATTCTCTTTTTCTGTGTGAAAGAGTAAACCTGATATAAAGTTTTTCTGAAATGGTCTTGTTTTAAGCATTTTTTTTTTTCCTTTTCTTATCCTGATCTGGCTTGTGATGTTTTCTGATGGGACTGAATCCTAGAATAGAAAGTCTAGATGTATTTATTTGTTTGTAAAGGCTGGAAGCAACCTTCAGGGCTCTCTGGTTAAAGTCACTTATTGAACATGTGGGGAATCTAAGATGTGGGGAAGTGGGGTGGTTTGCCAAGGCCCTCAGTTATTCCAGGTTGAAGACTAGAATTTGGGGTCCTCTTCAGCTCTTTTGGGACTTCTGATTGGGCCATTTAATATCTTTCTGACATTTGTCTATGTTTTCCTTCCTTTTACCTCAGGATTTCTTACCTTGAAAATGCCTGGTTGTACTTACTGCATTGAATTGTGCTAAGTAGCTGAGAAAGCACTTTTCATGTATTTTTGAGACAGAGTTTCCTCTTGTCACCCAGCTGGAGTGCAATGGCGCTGTCTCGGCTCACTTCAACCTGTACCACCCAGGTTCAAGTGATTCTCCTGCCTCAGCCTTCTGAGTAGCTGAAATTACAGGCACCCACCACCACACCCAGCTAATTTTTGTATTTTTAGGAGAGATGGGGTTTCTCCATATTGCCCAAACTGATCTCAAACCCCTGACTTCAAGGGATTCATCTGTCTTGGCCTCCCAAAATGCGAGCCACTTCACCTGGCCTCACGTTTGAATTTTCACTTCCCTTTGAACAGGTTTATGAAAGCACTCTTTTTCCACATTCACATTATGCATATATAACATCTGCTTAGTTGACCCTTGTTGAATTAATAAAAGGATAATTGTTATGTATTTCACACTTTAATCACACACACACACATACACACACACCCCATACACACACACACAAGTCTCAAATTCACCACTGTATAGCTACTTCAAGGTTATATAGTCCAGCAGTCCCCAACCTTTTTGGCACCAGGGATCAGTTTTGTGGTTTCCACCGACGTCGGGGGTGAGGGGCAGAAGGATGGTTTCAGGATGAAACTGGTCTCACCTCAGATCATCAGGCGTTAGTTAGATTCTCATAAGGAGCACAATCTAAATCTCTCCAATGCACAGTTCACAGTAGGGTCTGTGCTCCTGTGTGACTAATGCCACCGCTGATCTGACAGGAGGCAGTAGCAGTAATGCTCGCCATACTGGTCTTCCACCCTGGGGGTTGGGGGCCCCTGATATAGTCATCTCCTGTTTTCAGGCATGGAGTATTTGAAATGTTAAAAGTAAATCATTTCCCCATGTTTTTAAATAGAGAAAAAGATCCCACAATTTCCCTTAGATGCTCATTTCGATTTTTCGTAACCAATGCTGTTGGAAAACTTCTTTGTCTGCTTTAGTCTGTTTCGCAGGTGGCTGTTTCTGACTCCTGTGCTCTCTTGTTTGTTCTGAGTATTGTTTTGTACACCCTGAATGGGTAGTTTTGCCATGGACTGAGTGGGAAGGCGATCTGGAACTTCTGGGGTGGTGTCCTGTGGTGCTGTCAGAGTGAGCCAAGCTGGGCTCTGCATGGCTGCATTACACCAGTGGCTCAGGCCATGCTAGTAGACAGGGCTGGTGCAACCCAGGGTGAAGTCATAAATATTTCTAGGCGATTTGATTGGTCTGTCTGGTCATGGTCTCTGAGAAAGGCTGGTGTATTTTAAGTCAGATGTCTGTGTACTAGGAATACCACCAGGAGTGAAGCTTAGGAATGCTAAGAGTGCTAAGAGAATCATTGTTCCTGCAAGTTTTGCTCTGAATGAGGTCTTTTGTCCTGTCACACAGAGTGATTCAAAATCCCTTAATCCTGGCCAGGCTGGAGTTGATGTTTGGATACCAGGGCAGGGCCTGTCTTCTACCTAGAAGTATATGGTATTATGTCAAGAGAAAGATTTTCTAGAGCAGGAGTTCTGCTGAAGGTGTGGGAGGTGGAGTTGGAGAATAATCCTTGACCTCAGGCACCCTATGGGTAGAACCTTGGGACAGGTATTTGCTGTGAACATCTCACATGCTTTGCCTCAGAGCCTCATCCAAAGGGATATCATCAATTTTGAGTTAAGGTAGAGGAATGATTGACATACTTTAAATAACACACTCTGAGATTTTCCGACTTTCATTAAGAATGGGAAGTTTCCCTTTCGTTCATTTTATTCAATCTTATTCAAGCCTCTTAGATTTACTTTTTCAACTTTTAATCATCTTTTTTGTGCTTCTCTGTCAATGGATGAGTTTTGATGTCCAAGGGTGGCGTCAAAACAACAACAACACTTTTACTTTAAATATTAGTTTTTCATTCTTTCAACCTTTATTTTGATGTAATACTAGACAAACAGAAAAGTTGCAAGAATATAATGAAAAATTCTTGTATACTTTTTTCCAGATTCTCCAAATGGTTACGCTTTGGTACATTTGTTTTACCCTTTTTCTCTATATGCCTATTTCTCTCCCCCTGAAACCATTGAGATAAGTGCAGATAAGATGTCTGGTTGCCCCTGCATAAC